ATTAAAACTTTCTTACAATGTTAACTTGCCGTCTGGTGTCCACAGCTGTTTGTTTGTGCTACAGGAGGTGAGGGGGATGGCCCGGGAAGTATCTAAAAAGTTCCGTGAACACTGGACTCCTGAGATCTTGGTGCTTCGGCTTCAGCTTTCTGTGAGGCTGTGGCCTGCTGCAAAGGGCAGTTTTCCCACGGACCCACGGAAGTCAAGAAGCCGTTCCTGCTGGGTTCTGAGAAGCCTTCGTTCTAACATACCACGTTACCTGCAGGCACTGCTGCCACTTGTCACGTGTGCAGGATGCAGCAATGGCCTGCAGTCTTTTACGGCAACTCTTCAGGCACCAAGAGGTAGCCAATCAACCACCATAGAAAAAGCACGGCACAACAGTGTTCTCCTGGTTTCTGAGTAGACGTAATAACTCTAATGAGAACTGTCACCCTGGGGAAAGAACCACCACCTCATTTTCAAACTGAAGGGACAAGTGGCAAGCCCCAGCATGGCTGAAGCTGCTCATGAAGTGGGGTGTTGTAGTTACATAATCTGGGGCTAATTTGAGATGATAAAGAGTGGATGGGTAGAGTGTAGCCTGTCAATCAAGTCGCTGCTTGAATTCATTTTGAGGCACTACAGAGATAAACAGCTCATTGGAGGCAGGGCACACAGGCTCTGCTTGGTATTCCTGATGACAAGACACATGGAGCTATGCTAGAGCCTGGAGCTGGAGGAGCCACGTGGAGACCCACACCAGGGCTGAGAGGCTTACACAGCCAGTGGATCCACACGACTGTCCACCCATGGGCCTGTGATCTTCCTGCATTTGGCGTCATTGCACGTGTTTCATGAGTCCGAAGAGGAATTTGTAGATTGGTATGAGACATATGGGCTAATATCAGACTTATGGACTTGACCTGGACTGGGCTGAGATGTTTTCCCAATATTCAATTACTCTTGTATATAAAGCTCTTTCTTACACACATGAGTCTCCCTGGATTGTTTCTCTAGTCTACCCAGCCTAGCACATGGGGACCAAAGAGCGTCTCTGTGACTGCAACTGGAGACTTGGAACTTCCTCCCACCTCATGGAGTCTGGCCACCTGGAGAAACAAAGCACAGGCTCCAAAATGGCAACAAACTGGTTGTGTTGCTGAAATAAGGGCTCAGTTTTCCAACCTGAGTCTTTTCGCAGCCCTTTCTCATGTTTTTAAATTGTGAGTTGGGTGCAAGTTTACGCTACACATCAGTTTTCCATTCAACAATGTGTACACACTTTGCTTCATTATGAGGAGGCCTGGTGGTGTAGTGGTTATGCATTTGGCGGGGATCCGAAAGGTGAACAGTTCAAAGCCACCAGCCACTCAGAGAAAACGGGGGCTTTCTACTGCCACCGTAGAGTTACAGTCTCAAAACTATAGGGTCTCTATTGAGTTGGCAACAACTCCTTGGCAGTGAGTGTAGTTGCTTCCTTGTTGATTACAATCCCCACCATGTAAATCACTTATCCTGTTTCCTGTTTTCATCCCTCCTCCGTTCCTAACCTTTATGAACTTTGTCCTTGGGCAAATGCTGCCCTTGTGGTCTCTAACGCTTGATTATTCTAGAGTGCATATCTTCCTGGTCTTATTGTTCCCTCCACAGACCCATCTATCACTTGACTGAAAACAGAGCCATAACAGTGAACTCATTTGCAGAACAGAAGGGTGACTCCCAACTGTATGGCCGGATCGATACCAGGCTGGCTTCTTCTCGCAGCAAGCGACCTTGAATCTCTCCCACCCATGCAGAGCTGACCAGAGCTAGCTGAAACAATTGGCAGCGAGTAACCTTGAATCTCCCACACACACCTGCGGAGCTGACCAGAGCTGGCTAATGGCCCGCTTTATTCTCAACCCAGCACAGCCCATTTGACTCAGTGCCCACACCCGGCATGGCCCATTTGACTCAGTACTCGCTTTGTTCTCGGCACGCCGCTCTGCACCCGGCACAAATACACCCGGAACCAGGAAGACACCTTACATTCCAGAAACCCGGACATACCTGTATCTCCCAATCCCTGACTACTTTACCTTATGGACTCAAGACAGCCCAGTCACATGTTCCCTGGCCATATAAGCACCACCCCTATAGCCTGGCCATATAAGCACCACCCCTGTAGCCCGGACACTGTGGACCATGGGACTTTGCCCAAGCTGGGTTTTTCCTCCCCAATAAAGCCCGTTTGTTCTAATTCGACTGATTTGGTTTCTGGTGCCTCTCGATTACCTTACACCAACCATAGTCTCAAAGGTTCTACCAATCTCTAGCCAACCAGTAAGAAAGTTGTTTTTTGTTTAATGATTTTGAGTTTGGGTGCACATTTTTCTCCCACCCTATCCAGAACCTTCTAATGTGATTCCTTTCAGAGCACTTAGTGGTGGTAGCTGGGCACCATCTAGTTCTAGTTTTCAAATCATGAAGACTGATTCTGAGGGCTCTCTCAGTCCACTGTTTCCATGTACCTTCAATTTTCTTCACGCTGCAGAAAGGGAGAACTTAAGTGTGTCCTAGATGGTCGCTCATGAACTTTTACAACTTCAGTTATGGCTCACCAAAGTAGGATGCAGAATAGTGGCTCTCAACCTTCCTAATGCCACGACCGTTTAATATAGTTCCTCATGTTGTGGTGACCCCCCCAAACCATAACATTATTTTTGTTGCTACTTCAACACTGTAATTTTGCTACTGTTATGAATCGGGCGACCCCTGTGAAAGGGCTGTTCGAGGCAGACACTGCCCTTCTCGTCTTAGGATTGGTTGGTCTAAGCAGCGCAGATCTTGCTGTAGTTATTGTTCACTTTATAGGCCTGCCTATTTTTTTTTTTGAGTGAAAACTAAACAGTGGAGTTGGGAGTGGGGTGAGGTATTGGTTCGCGGCCTGAAGATGTCTCAGGGTGTTTCAACAGTCACTATCAGACCAGTAAACCTTGTCTCTATTATTTCAAGTTGATGCAAACTATCTTTCCAAAGGCCCTTTTCTAAGCCTTCCACCCCAAAGCATACTAAATCGTATTCACCTTTACCCAGAGGCCAGGAACTTCTTAGAGCACGTTTCTTTTGAGACTGTTTATTTTTACCGGTCATTTTTTGTGGGAAACAGAAAGATTTCTCCCAAGTCGTCTCCCCCAAATATGTTTAACTAAGGACACTGCTTGCAGCTAATGATAAATGATGGTCAAGTTACCTCCCTGAAGGCAGTCAGTTGCTAGACTACAGATAGGCCCCTCTCCCTGCTGTTAAGGACAATGGGCTACTTCTCCCTAAAGGCTTGCGACCAGTAGCTTGGTTCCTGTAGGTGGGGTTTACACCCTACTGATTATGGTTTCTATGGTGATCCAGAGAACAGGTCAAACCAGCTCAGTGACATCCAAAGTTAGGCTGCCATCCTGAATCTAGGATCCGCCCATCTTGTCACATGTGTACCCCCAATCCCTCCTCTTCCTATTGTGTGTATATCCCTAGATTGTCCCCCTCTCACTGCTGTATACCCTATAGTGCAACCCCTTCCTGTGACTTATGTCTCTACCTGTAATTAGTGGGCTTGCATGCCCCCCCCCCCAAAGATACATAGGTCTGGGTTAGCAAGAAAGAGCTCTCGGGCTGCCCCCTTGGCCTCTGGTCGGCTTCCCCTTCTTCTGTCCTGTCCTCGCTCCCCTGTTCCCTTTCCCCTTGTCCTCCCTTCCCCTCCCCTCTCTCCATGTGGACCACCAAGCGGGGTTGAGGTGAGCATTGCTACCATGAAATGTGTCTGACTCCATTATTTCAATATCTCTTCTCTCTCTCATGCTTTCTATGGCTTTATTATAATATAGATAGATGATAGATGATAGATAGACTGTACAATTGTGCCTATCAAACCTGTGATTATTGGGGGGGTGGGGGTGGCGCTGGGCCCTTCCCCCACAATTTTTAACGAATCAAGAAAACTTTTCTAAATAATTGACAACCTTCTTCTGCCTTTGTTAAGAGAATAAGGGGTGATTAAGATATACTATCCTGAGACTAAGAAAAGTAATGAGAAAGGCTTCATAAAGTTCATGGAGGGGAAATCCCATTTCTTGTCAATTCAATTTTTCCACAAACTTTTTGAAGGTCCCTCGTAACCCACCTTGACAATTTTAATCACTCTTCTTGCCAATAAAAGAGATATAAATTTAACATAGGTTTCCAGCCTTGAAGTTGCTAACCTTTTTAAAGCTTAATCATCACACAGTATCAAAAAAGATTTGAACTGCAAAATGTCATTGCATTTATTTTTCATTCCACACTATAGATAGGCTGAACTATTAATCCATGCTCCCCAGCCCTCCCTGGAAGACTAAATGCTCTTTAGGGAAATGCAAAAACACCAGGACAGGGAGGCCTCTCAGGTTTCCAAGCTTGTAGAGCAAAGCTGCATGAAAATGATGGCTAAGGGGAACAGGTTTTCGAATCAGAATTAAGCCATGCTGAGCCAGTTTCCAGAAATCTACTTGACACCACACCTTTTCTCAACACGTGCTACACAGGATACAGGCACACAGCCAGGCATTGTGTGACCACCCAAACCTGTAACCTAAGGAGGGCTGCTTCCAAGCACAGGCACTAAGCAACCTCACATTGTCTCCGGCCTCAGCACTGTTTGCTCATTAACCATTGTAAACACAGACTTAGTTACGCCTTCTTATTAGTATGCAGCTTTTTAAATTTTTTCCCCTTTAACCATAGCCAAGATTCTGATTTTTTGCTCTGGCTGGCATCTGTCTCTCCCCACCCCACAATACACTCTTATAGATTCAAAGCCTCTTTTCAAATTTACAATCCTTGACAAGAAAGGAGGACCCCATCAGCAATGTAAGCACAGATTTACTTGTGCTTACTACGACTCACAATCTGTGATGACCAGTTTTTACGGGGATGTCACCCCACTGAAGTCACATACAGCTGTGCCCTGAAGATTAGTAAGTAAGCAGAGATACGCTTGTGCTCACCTTGCGTCATGGGCCTTGTCTCAGAGCTGGACCACGGTTCAGGCTCTATTCACACTCCACGTGCGCTGAGTGAAGCACCTGCACCTGGGAAGCTAAGTGGGAAAAGAGAAATCAAATCGAGGCAAAGCTAGACTGCCAGGTGTGTTCATCACGGTCCCTTTATCTCAGCAAAGGTCGAAAAGCACGGATTGCTTTGTTCTAGGGTCAAGAGCTGGCTCCAAATTTGGTCAACTATGTCTCATTATAAAGGAAGCCAGACAAGAAAATGTGGATGGATTAAGGTAAGTGGGAAACAATGAATAGGACATAAAGAAAAGCCAGTACTTTTGAATACCTGAAGCTGACTCCCAGTTCTGCTCCTAATCAGCTGTATGAATTTTGACAAATCATTTCATCTCACTGGTGTCATTTTATCTTCACACGTGTGGCTGTGTCAGTGCTTCTACAGTCTCCTCCAGTCTCAACCTCATCCCTACGGAAACCAGCGCCATACAGACACAGCACACCATGGGTCTCGTGCCATGGTGAGTGCTTCGGGTTCAATGCAATTGGAGCCATGACCCTGTTTAGACCATCTATTTATTACATTAGCAGAGTAGAAAGCCTTTTCCTGGTGGTGCAGCTCGTGATTTCAAACTGCCGGCCTGGCAGATAGCAGGCCAATGCATAACCATTATGCCACCAGCGTTCCTGGTGTTTGGGATTAAATGCTGGGTCAGCCACTTACCTTGGGTAGTTAACCTTGCTAACTCATTAACCTTATCTTTACATTAGCAAAGACTTAGCAAAATTTAAGCAATCCATGAAGGCACAGGGCAGTGAGATACCTCGCAGTTTCTCAGTACCATGGAAGGGAGGAATTGATACAATCTTTTTATGGGCAATTCACAAGCATACCAGAAGTCTTTTTAAAAGCATACTATTTGACCTGTCAGCAGTTTGGCGCCACCAGCCGCTCTGAGGGAGAAAGGCAAAGCTTTCTACTCCTACAAGGAGTTACGGTCTCAGAAACCCACAGGGGCAGTTCTACCCTGTCCCATAGGGCATGATGAGTCAGAATTGACTCATGGCAAGAAATGCAGGGGAACGGATAGCTTTTGAGCACTGGCGGCACTATCCAGTGAGCTCCGAACTGCTAACATCAATACTGGAAGTTCCACAGCACCAGCTGATCTATGGGGGAAAGATGAGGCGATGCTCTCTGCAGCCAGAAACCCTAAAGAAGAAGAAGTACTATGAATCAAACTCAACTTGATGGCAGTTGGTTTGTTTATAGTCATTTAGAAATGAGAAGTAAACAATATGACCACTGCAAATAAGTAAGCAATTGTTTGCATTCATTATCATGGGGATTTTGAATAATGAATTTAATGACATAGCCAACACTACATTATGTCGATCAAGAAAAGCAGGATACAAATTTGAATACACAATGTGACCATAGTTATGTATAAAGTGTGTAGGCACACCACACTGTTACCCATACATGTCTAATATTTGTAATTAAGACTATAGAGAATGACGATGTGTGCCTAGAAGCTATCACCAGGTGAACTTCAATATCTTCTTCCATATTTTCATATTCCACATTCTCTTTTGTAGCATGCACTAACCGTGTAATAAACAATGTATGTACGGGAGTAGCTGGTCTAAAACAAGGAGGGCTTTAGCAGTTATTAGCATAGAACAGTCTGAGTTCAGACAGACACACTTCAGCGTGGGTGGGAATGGTCAGAGGAAGTGTTCTGGAGGGGGTTCTACCTGATGCGGCCATTTTCCCACTCGGGTACCTAGCTCTGCCACTTAGTAACTGACCTAGGCTAATAGCTCAAAATCTGTACTTCCATTTTCTCATCTATAAACCAGGACTGTGTTAGACAGGGTTCTCTAGAGAAACAAAACCAGGGCACTTATGATTATATATAGTATGTATACATATACATATATATGGATAGATACAGCACAAAGAAATAAACAAGTTAATTAGTCCACAGAGCAGTACAGAGGGCTCAGTTCAACTCACTTCCATGAGGCAGTTAATATACTGGGAGTCCTTCAACTCACGAGGGCTGCTGGGTCCAAGTTGGGGAAGTAGACAGCGGAACGGAGCAAAACAGGCAGTCCAGCCACAGGCAGCAAACAGCAGGGCACATCACCAACAGTCAGTCAGGGTCTGACAGTCCCCAGCTCAAGTGAGGTACACACCAGCAGTGTGGTGAAACAGGTCTTTAAGGACCCTCAAACTATAGCGACACGGTCCACAGGTTGAGTGTCCCACAAGTAGTGTAGCTCCCACATTAAGGCACCAAAGTAGCCAAGGTAGCCAGCTCCACACTGGTCCGATCATCAGAGAGCAAGAGACAGAAAGGCGATGCTCGCTGAGCCATTTATCTCTTTGCCCTTCAATTCAACTGCAACCTTATTAATCCCACATGTGTTTACTGGCCAGGTTGGCCCAATAAACCTACCTATCTCAGGGGCTGATAGCAGTTCTTTTTTCATGGAGTTCTTGTAAAGATGAAATGAATGTGGGTGGGTAAGGATGCTGGGCAACGTAAGCATGATATCTATGATAGTTCATAGTCTTGCTGGATTCCTACTAAGCGATCGGCAGACACTTACACCTCATAACTTGATAGAAGTCTTAGGGATCTTGAGGTTAAGGTCCCAAGGTAAGTGGCTGAACCAGCAGTTGATCCCAAACAAATGGGCCTCCCCGCATCCAGCAATGCTCTTTACCAAGACAGCATCTGAAGGAGCAGTAAGCAAGCCCATCGGGGCCCACAGTGCAGGAATTACCACTGGCAGCACACATGGGGCTGGGTAAGGAAAGCCAGGCTGCGGAGTTACAGCCCAGCTCCGCAGGCAATCAATATTGGGAGCTGATGAAGATTTCCATGCAAAGTACCGGACAGAGGAAGGCTATAAGAAAATTAGTCTGGCAGACTATGGGCCACATGGGCTATGCTGGCATGGGGCAAATGGACGCTGTGGTTTAAAAAGGGTAGAAAGAATACAGACACAGCAAGTGACGAGGGAATGGAAAGCTGTCCTGCAGGAAGGAACAAGAATGGTGAGCAAGGAATCACACAGCATGAGCACCTTTTGTCCAAAAAGAAGCAGTTATTTACAAAATTAAGCGAAAGAATCAAAAACAGCTACTACTGACAAGCAGCCCACGCCTCATACCATCTGGCAGCACTCAGGCAAGTTGCCTTGCCGCTTGTTGTTAAAGAGGCAGCCAGCCCAGCCCAACAGAACGATGTGATTGAACTAATTAGACCACTAAACTGAGGGCAATGGGGTCCAAAATCATGTCCGCTCGCAGGCTACTCCTTCCAGGACAGAGTAGTCCCACCTAGAAGCCCATCCTTCAGTGTACACGTTCACGCTTGGGAAAGGCGGGGCCCGGGTCAGGACTCAGCCTGGAGGAGTTTCAGGAATATGACTGCATGGGATGACAGACTCGAGTTTCCAAAGAATGGGCTCTCGTGGTGGAAACGAGGGGGTAACGGAAGGACGGCAAAATGCATGTGCTGCGGCTAAAGTCCAACTACCAGCGCAGGCCCAGCAATTTGACTGCATGATGTCTGCATGGGCACCCCGCTGCCCACTTCATGCTTCATTAACCTAACTGATCGTGCCCCTCTGCAGCCATGGCTGGGAGCACACAGAGAGGATGGCGAGACTGCAGAGCAACTCATTCATTCAGCACACATTCCCGGGCACTTACCACTCACAGGTGATCAATGGCTATCTCTAAGGAGTCTTTTGTTGTTAAGGCAAGAGATGGTTCTAAAAACTGGTTAGGTGTGCTAACAGAAAAAAAGGAGAGATGAGCGACCGAGAGAAACGAGAGCGGGTGCCGGCGGACACAGCTTCCTCTAGTCTGCTGATCACAGAGGGCAGATGACTGATCAGTTACCCTGGACATATAAGGCAGCTCCAAAAATATCTGTTGAAAAATTCCATTCTCTTGTAATTCTGGTTTTCTGTGAACTTTTAGAAGCCCCCTTGTGTATCCAAAAACCACATTTTCCTCTCAGGAGAGTATATTACTCAACTGTCTCCCCTCCTGAACTCTGGCCACAATCAATATAAGGCAAAACTGACCTAGTTGCTTGCCAAGTCGTCTTGCCTGTTCCAGCATCAACATCATGGCATGGAGGGAACCTGAGTGGGGGCCTGTAGCCAGAGCTCCTGGAGCCGTGGGTGGGTCAGGTGATGAGCACCTGGGTCGACTGCATGAGTCAGCAAAGTGGGACAAGCCCAGAAAGAGGGGTGATGGGAGCAGAAAAGAGTCACCCATGTAGGCAGACTGTTAATACCTTCTGTTTTGTTTTTCCTCCATAGTTCTAAATTTTGCCATTAAGATTTTATGTGAAACTATATATCAGTTCCCCTGTGAAGTCAGAATAATTATAATAACCAATTTTACTGCTAGGGCATTGTGAACATTCCTGAACTTGGAAAATAAATCATCTGTGGCACCTTACTTTGAATAATAGGCATCATTTACATGAGAAATTTTTTAAAGGAAGAGAAAACAAAATGTGGATTTTAACCCAAGTGGCAAGTGGATAAGCACTCAGTTGGTAACCACAAGGTTGGAAGTTTGAACCCAATGGCCACTCTGCAAAAGAAAGATGGGGCAGTCTGCTTCCATGAAGTTCTTACTGCCATCGAGTCAATAACTTTTTTTTTTTCAAGGTCTGATTTTTTAAATCATTTTATTAGGGGTTCATACAACTTTTATCACAATCCATACATACATCAATTGTGTAAAGCACATTTGTACATTCGTTACCCTCATCATTCTCAAAACATTTGCTCTCCACTTAAGCCCTTGGCATCAGCTCCTCATTTTTCCCCTCCCTCTCCGGTCCCCCCTCCCTCATAAATCCTTGATAATTTATAAATTATTATTATTTTGTCATATCTTGCCCTGTCCGACGTCTCCCTTCACCCACTTTTCTGTTGTCCGTCCCCCAGGGAGGAGGTCACATGTAGATCCTTGTAATCGGTTCCCCCTCTGGACTCCACCCTCCCTCTACCCTCCCAAGAGACTGTAACTCTTGACAGGAGTAGAAAG